TGACATCTGTTTTATATGTGAATGTAGTACAGAAGTCAGACTTAACATGTAGACACACGTGCAAGAACACACACTCATCGGTTTAATCTGTCAGCCAAGCAAGGCTGGGGTGTGTGTGTGTGGGTGTGTGTGCATGCTTATGTGCTCTTTACTTCTTTGAGAACTACAGACAACGTATAAGGCCCTGAACACGTAGCAGTGCAAGAACGAAAGTAGTTAGATAGATGGCAACAAATCTAACACAATCAAAACAAACCAGTTTCATGAAGAAAATATTTGAGAGCCTTGATACCATTTTTATCATGCAGCTGTGGGTTACGATGGCCTTTTCCTACTGAATAGCCCTTCTGGTCCTTTTCTTCTCTGCCAATATACTCTTTGACCTTAAGCTGTCCCTTGGTCTCCAGGAGGATAAGCTAAGGTCTGTAATTCAGTCCCCAAATATAATTCACGGTCAACTTCAGGCAGCTTCTCTTGCTTTGGCCAGTAGTTCTCTTCACGGTATGCATTCAACCCATTTCTACCCAAATGAGATGTTTATGAGTCTTCTTGAGGGGTGTAGGGAAACATCTCTATGTGAATAACGTAAGAAACACCCCTATGTGAATGAAGGAGGAAAGGAACACATCTCTATGTGAAAGGACCGAAAATAGCAAAGAGAAAACTGCTTCTCCTTCCTGAGCTGGCCTGCCTTCATGGCACAGTTGTTATGTTCAGCAACATTTTATGACCCTGAGGGAAAAGCTAAGAGGATCACAGAGATTTCAACCCTGGTATCACTGAGCTGTTGAACTAATGCCACCAACTGCCTCCTCCAGAACTTCATTATGTGCCAAAAATTATGAGGATTTCCTGACACACGTAACGAAATACCTGCCCTAAAAGTACGACAGCAGGAGCGCCTGGGTGTCTCAGTGGTTTGGCCTCTGTCTTCGGCTCAGGTCATGATCCCAGCATCCTGTGATCGAGCCCCATATCGGGCTCTCTGCTCAGCAGGGAACCTGCTTCCTCCTCTCTCTGCCTTCCTCTCTGCCTACTTATGATCTCTATCTGTCAAATAAATAAATAAATAAAATCTTAAAAAAAATTTTAAAAGTATGACAGCATAGGCGTCATTCCCCTAGGATAACTACACTGGGGGTAAGGGAAAGAAGCAGGGAACCTTCTGGTCTATACCACATTTCAGTAAAGTGCATTGGGTCTCTATTCTATTAATACCGCCTGGTGGTATCAGGACAAAAACTGAGGTCTGCATGATTTCCTATTAACTATGGCTACCTTCACACATAAGGTCGGAACCCGAGTATGCCGTTAGTCCTATGGTCAAGATTGTGCCACGTGGGTGTTAATGAAGCAAAGAGGGTGGTTTTGACAAACTCAGTTTATGGCGGGTCTGATTCTCCCCACCTGAGAAGATTTTTTTTTTATTCATCCACAACACTAATCTGTGAAGATAAGATTATCCGAATATGCAATCAGGCTATAATTAACCTGAAATGACAATTATAAATAACACAGTGTCCCAGAGTTTCCAAGAAACCTGACATACACAGTTTTTTGGGTATGTTGAAACACTTCCAAGAAAAGTAAAAAATGAGAAATCTTTTAGAAGTCTTCAATTAAAATGTGTTTTAGTAAAAATGACTTTCATTATGTGTTTTGGTGTATATTACTAGAAAACATTTGTCCCTATCTTCACACCTCTAATTGTTTTTACTACCAATTACAGCTTTTCAGAATTAAGACTTTCTGCTTGGGACAACCATGTTGGTCATTTAAAATGTGGAGAAAATACTATGTATGAGGTTTGTGTACTCGAGAAAACAGATCTCCATGGCAGGATTCCAACATAGGGATCTCAGGTCCTGCTATCTATTACCTCTTGGACCAGTGGGAAACACCAGGCTGGATTTCCTCTCTTTTCCCTTTTCCTTTCTCCCAGATCCTTTCTATCTGTTTCTTTCTTTTATCCACCAATCCCCCATCCCCAATCCCGCCCCTCCACTTCACATACTTTCTGGATTTAGGAATATTGTTTTAGTGAGAGAAATGTCCTTCTTTTGGTATTCAAATGATACAATAGAGTGCAAAAAATTTCATCACATATCCTGTTTATGTCTTTCAAAAGGAAGCAAAATTTCAAACCAACTACTGATCTACCTGTGCTCTGGCCATGGGTAAAGTCGGGCAATTATAAAGATATATTAAAAGGGTAGGTATTAGGAGAAAAACAACATAGGCATAGTGCTGTCACTTCATGTGGAAGAATAAGCAGGTACCTTGGTCGCTCAGGTATTGAAATGATCTCATCGGCTAAGCAAAATGGGTGAGGCCTTTATTTACTTCCTACCAGTAGGTTCACACGAAGATGCCATCATTAACAGTCAAAATACTAATTTGATTTAAACCATATACTTTATGAAGGAGGGGACATATTTTCTTGTTCAATAGAGTAGCTCAAGTACACAATCCTACCACCCTTGATTTGTAGCAGGTGTTAATTAAAAGATATAAATTTGACATTATCTCATATCCATGAGTTGCACGTGGATTCAATCATTAATATTATAGAAATGGCACCCAAGCTTAACAGGAAAAGGCAACCACAGTTAATGCCTGCTCAGAGGGCTTCAAAGAACGCCCTCTCATTGTCAGGTATCAAGGTGTCATTCAGGTCCTTCTGCTGAAAAGATTCACTGACACTTCCCCGAAGTCGGCCATGCTATTACAATAACGGAACTGTTTCACTTCCTTATTTTAAGATTTTCACTGAAAAACCCATGAAAATATAAGACTGTAGTTGATGTAACTCAACTGCATTGAAAGGGCATGCGGACGAGATCTGGGGAAGACAGGCTTCTTAAGAATGGAGACATCTTAACTGGCCAACAGCTTTTGGCAGGTATGACTCCAAAAATAGTTACAACGCTAGAAAAGAGAAGGGGAAACTGAAGGCAGTCATGTTGAACAAGAGGCAACTATCCCTCTTGCAACACAAATAGAGAGGGTGCCAATCAGAGAAGTCAAATAGAGTCTGATTGTGGAGGGGGAACAAGGAGCGGAAATGAAGTCCGCTAACAATGGACAGCAAGGGAGCAAAGTGAATGCAGATGGCTCTACTCCGAGTACTTAATCAGAGGGCTGCGCACAGTCACTGGAGCCGGCTCCAAGTCACGTGTTAGAACAACAGCTGATCTGTATTAGAGAAGATTAACTCGCAGTGCCATGGTGGAGGGCCCAGGATTATTTTATGTACTTCCACTGCCTTACAAGCCGTCAGCACAATTACTGCCCTCCGATCTGAATGAGTGATCTGTAACCACAGCTAAACAGCATGCTGCTTAGGGGCCCAGGAGCTTCATGAAGATGAATTTCCATACCATCAAAGTGCTTTTAATGGGTTCCCTGATCCAACCACAAGGCCTGTTTTGCAAGTATATAGAACTCAGGATGAAGGCTTCCTGTCCGAAAGGATTTGGTCGGTTGTCACTTGACAATTCCCAGCCAGCACAGGGGAGGAGAAGGGGGGAGATAGGTAGAGTTGTCTCTGCTTTGGAGGATTAAAAAAAAAGGGTACAGATGCTTGCTGAATGCAACCAACTGCTGTATCCACAGCTGAATTCAATGCGCTTAACAAATAACGGCAATTTAGCTATGCTTGCGAGGAATAGCTTGAGTCACTTTGCATTAGCATCTGGCTGAGTGTTAAACTCCTTTCTACATGGGGAGCAGAGAAAAGGAATTTCTGTTCAAGCATCCTTTCAAGAATGTTTAAATATTTGAATATAAATTCCTTTATGCTTGCTATCATTCCTTCTTAGAGCTGTCACTTTGCTTTTCCCCTTCCCTTCTGGCGCTTAGCTAGAGAAATTTTGTGCCCTCCTCGCTGTACCAGTATCGCTCTCCTTCTGCCTTGTGCCTGCCAGCGATGCCTCCCTAACCGCGCTTGTGCTCTCGCCTCCCGGAACAGAGCAGAACTGGAGGCATTTCTCCATCCTTGGGACCCACGTTTGGAGCGGAGGAAAAGTACAGCTGTGACGGGATCACACACAGATAGCACCTCCACTTGCAGATAGTGAGCTTCTTAGAGGCTACACATCAAATTCCATCTAAAACCCGGGAAACCAGAAAGCTACCCAATTAGCAATCTGCTCCTTCTGGACACTACTGTTTGACTCGAAAGCTTCCCATGATGGTTAACTTTCAAATCATTGCTAAGTAGCTGATCATTTTTTCCCTCTGATTTACTGTATCTCTCTTCAGCTACGGGATTGTGAAAACAAGACCCAGTCACATTCCAAAATTTCAATTCAAAAACACCAAACAGGACCAAGATCACTCCGAGCATTCTGCAATGGCCCAATATTTTTCTGAGTAAAATACAACGCAGCTTAGATAAAAGAGTTTGAAATTGTTACATCTCGAAATTCAGCATTTTCACCGGGCTTTGGTAAAATGATCATGTCCGAGTTTTAAAAAGCACATTTTGTTTGGTAATTAAAGTCAAAATTTCCAATTGTGTAGTCATCTAAACCTTGACAGTGCTTTGCATTGGAAACATATTATGACAGGCTCAGAATCCTAGTTACTTAGACTATGAGCATGGGTATCATCCAAGCTTATGCTGATTAAAGAAGATTCAGCATTTTCAAATCCAGCTCATCCCCAAATACAAGTTAAGCATCTCTGTAAAGCAAAACTTTCACTCGGACTCAGATATTTCAAATGCCATTCCATTTTAATGCAAACTGATGGCAGAAAGGGGGATATTAATTGTCAATAAGGTTTGGAGATGGATAGAGGAGAATTATAACTCCTTTCATTTCCAGATGGTTTTGATTAGGAAGGGCATGAAGATATCTGTACTGACCGGGTGAGCGGGGAGAGGAGCGGGGGAGAACCTTGCTTCTGAGGCGGTGAGAAGATAAGAAAACAAAGGAAAAACAAAACATTTAGGCAATTTAAGTATTTTTGGGAAGTCCATTATTTTATGAACTAACCTTTTCTGTCCGGCAGTTACTGAGACCTAAATTATTCACAACGGCCACCTTCCCATCAAGCACTTGTTGTTCCCGCCGAAGCTGCTCCTTCATCTGCCGAGCCTCTTGGATTGCCTTGGTGACAGCATCATGGTCATTTAAATAACCTGAAGATGTGACAGAACAAAGGCTATGTTTTGTATAAATGCATGGACAGGTTAACTTTTAACCACAAAAATCACGTCTTTTTGGGGGGGGGGATGGTTAATGGTTAGTGTCTGGCATAGACTACTTTCTCAGTTTCTTTAATCTAAAACGAATGAATGAGTAATCGATAATGCCTGATTGATACAGTCCTACGTGAATGTGGTGCCAAGCCTCTGCAATGCAAACGTAATATGAAAGGCAAATACAGTTGTTTCCACATGCTTGGAAAGAGGTTTAAAATATAAGTTTTGAATAAATTTTTTTCAGCTCTCTGAGTATTCTGTAGTGCAAAAATAAGACCTTTGATTTTATTATTATTTTTTTAATGTAAGGATCATTTGAATGTTGCCATAGGGTAGAGGTATTGATGATTATTACTCTAATTATTGACATTCTCATCATACTGGAAAGATCAGCTTATAGTTTGTGTATAGCACTATTAGGGTTGTTAGATACAGAAGGAATAAGTCATTATTGCCTGAGTGAAAGAAGATCATTCCCTCCCTCCGACCCCACCCCACCCCCACCCTGAATCCACTGATGGTGAAGTAAACCACAGGTAGCAGTGATTTGCTATGGATACAAACTTGTAAGAGTGAAGGGGCCAAATTTCAAGCACAGAATGAAACCAAGCACCTGTGAATTGTATGATAAGAAATTGTGGCTACTGAAAACTACAGTCACACTTAATTCACGCTCTTAATAAGATAGTTACATGACCAACTTGCGTCTACAGCTCCACAATCCAAAGTTAAAAAAAAAAAAAAAGTCAAAATATTTCTTTTAAAGAATAACAGGTGTAAGGAGCAACACTAATTTTTAACTTAATTTTAACACTGGTCACTTATTTATTTGATGGACATTATTATGTTCGTCTGCACGATTTTAGGGTAGAATACCAATGGGAAAAGACTGTTTTGTAAATATTGAAAGGAAAGCTAATATATCATCTTTCACTCTCCCTGTCTTTTAACTAGGGCATAAAATGGCATAAACTGAATCTATAATATGAAATTGCCCAGAAAAGGGACTTGTTTGTGACATGAGGCTAAATCTAACCAGATCCATTGGTGAATTGTGACAGATGGAGGGACTGTGAGACAGAAGGCAGGCACTAATCACACATAAAATGACCGGCTTGCCTCAACATGTTCCATGGATTCCAGCAAACTTTACACCCTAATCCATTTTTAGAACAAAAAACATCTGGGCCATAAATCCTCTAATCTGCCAAAACACGCTATTAAATCCCATGATTTGTTGAAAAACACTAAGATTAAAGAAAGGAAATATAAAATGGCTAACTGCCGTGTTAGGAAAGTGTTATTAATACTCTTTCTTTGTCTCAATTATGAATGTTCTGGTACTAAAGAGCCTTGTCTAATCATGTCAGATTACACGTCCTCGCCGTATTGCTAGACTCTTCTATCTGATCTGTTGTTTGCCAAAAAACATAGAATACTTTCTTGCTGCTTAAATATTTCTATTGAAGAAGCTGGTGTCAGATTAGTACAGTGCTTCAGTGCTGGAGGGTTTCAAAATGATCCACGGTCCCCTCCCTCTCCCAATATGCACAGACTAGACCTCATCCTCTGATCTCCTTGAGGCAGAAAGATAAGTTCCAGTGTAGGCGACAGCGCGAGGAGCCTTGAGAGCGACTATAGGTTTTGCATTTCAGAGCTAAATTCATTGGAATGTACTCAAAGAACAAAACATCCTTGCTCATTACAAATACAGTACGAATCGTGAACGACTATTTAGGCCTAGGTCAAGCCTTTAGGGTTAACGTTTACTTTAAATTATGGTTGTTCTTAACCGTATATTATCCTTAGCATCCACTCTCCGTTCTCCTGAACAACCTTCTTAATATATTATTCCTGAGCTGAATCTGTTCATGTACACTACTACTCTAGAAAGAAATACAGCTCATATAGGACAGTGATGGTCTCAGGACGTGTTCATTTACTAAAAGATCTTAAGAGGATCAGTCTGATTTTTCCTATGCTCTAACCCCTGTTTATGTACAACCTGGCATCATGCATTTTTGCAGTCTATTTAGCTTCTCCAGAGCACAAATACATTTTGAAATGGTTTGGCACACGGCGCTGAATAAAAGTATGAATTCTTTATGTTTTTAGGTGCTGCCAAGATAACATTGTGCAGGAAAAATGATTAATATAGATGCAAAAGGGATGCAAATTATATGGGGGTGAATAACTGACAGACATATGTTCTGTAATGTCTATTTCCAGTCTGAGGTGTGTGCTCCTATGCAGGTGGAAATAGGCGTCCACTTTAAAATAGACTTTGCTTTTACAGACTCTTGAATTTTAGTTAAAATGCTCTATGAAATCTAACATTTGTATCTGCTGTGTTAAATCTGAAGGCCATTTATATATTACAGAGTTGAATCATGACAGGATTGTGTGCTGATTCTTTCCATTTTGTTCTCATCATAGTCACTAAATTACCAGTCTTGCTGATTCCCTCTCTCCACCCAAATGACTTCAACTCCGATTTTGGAGAGACCAATAAGGCTGAGCTCTCACCTTCCTTTCCTGCCCCACCCCCACCCCAACTCCTACCCCATGCTGGCTTCAAATCTGTCTCCAGTTCTGCCCATTGTCTCTTCCTGCTTCAGTGAAAATGGTGCCCCTGCTTTGATTCAAGGCAAATCCCCTCAAATTGTGCTCTAGATTTCTGTACCTCTCCACTGGTCATTCTCTTTCCCATTTATGTCATTAACTCTGAACGTCTCCACCATTTCTACAACTTCAATTTGTAAGTACTTAAGTTTCTCCACCTGAGATGAACGAATGAAGTTTCTCTTTCAACTCTGGGTTGCCTTCTCTTTCCAACTGTCTCTCTTTACCTTCTAAGATTCTCATCATACTCTCCCATTCCTTCCTCACTCTTCCATTTCTGCTACAATCTTGTTTCTGCTGCCCTTGCACTTTTAAATTGCCTATTCAAAGGGACACTTGCCTTGGCTTGCAGAATGACCTCACTGACAATTCCCTTACTATAGAAACTCCTTTCTTCTTTGTTTATCATCACAACATGTGATCCCCTTTCCTCTCTGCCTCCTCCATATCCATAACCTTGTCTGGGATCTGTTCCTCATCTCCTCCTTAGATTTGGTCCATGGTTACAATCTTTAGAAAAACTTGGCATTTTGGAGTTGGAAAACCTGAATTAAAATCATAACTTTGCCACTTAGAAGCTCTATAAATTGTACATGTGGTTTTACCTTTTTAAATCTCAATTATCTTATTGGTTAAATGGAGATAACATTCACTAGGTAACATAAATGAGTTAATATAGTCTTGCATAATAAATGGCCCATGAAAGTTATTCATTGTCAGTTTATTTACAAAATGGCATAGTGAAATAGATAGGGTTTAGGCATTGGATACAGATGGGTCTGGGTTTCTGTTTCTTGGGAAGTGTGATATTTGCCAAATTATAACAATGTCACTGGGTTTCCATTCCTATCAACTGCAAAATGAATGTCAGGTTGATGGGAAGAATTAAACAAAAACAAAATAGAACATCTTGTGAAGGAGTAGATAACACTGGGACCTGAGGAAGCAGTAGAAAATGTTAATGCATTTCTTTTCCTTTCTCTTTTGTTTTTTCTATATGTTCACACTCAGCAGTCTTATTGTATGGCTTTGACCATAATGAAAAATCTGTGAAAGGATATCATTTCTTGTTGGTATGGAGGTTCAAGGAAAGAGAGCCATGCCACACAACCCCACCCCTATGATTCCTTGATAGATTTAATTCAACCTGAATTATATATTTAGGCACCAACTGCATCATAAAATAGGATCAGAAGGTGGGTATGTGCTTAGGAGAGGTTTGGTGAACCTCAAGCTAAGGAGGGAAGTGGGAAGGCAATAGTCAATATCGCTTCCAGTTAGCACCTCAAATGAAATTTGGGAAATGTAGAATTGGGATCATTAGTATAAGAAATCTGCACGATTCTGTAACTTTGTTAAATTCACTACAGTTTCACTTTTTATGCTTTAGTGTTTCTTTTTAATCACTACCAACAAAATTCTCAAAATTAAAAAGGCCCCTTTTATATATTTTCAGGGGCAGAAAAAAAAAAAAAGGACAACCTGGAGATAACCTGTGTTATTTCATTTAATTCTTCCATCGACCTTATATTTGTTCCATTACAGTGGTATAAGAGGACATCTATTTGAAGTTTATATTTTTTAAGTGGTTTATTGTTATTAAAGTCCATTGTCAGCTTAGGAAACTCATGAGCAGTCTTAGGATAAAATCGAAACAGAAAGAGTTCTAGCTGCTCCACATGGAAAAGAAACTGTTAAAAAACAGAAGGAGGGGCGCCTGGGTGGCTCAGTGGGTTAAGTCTCTGCCTTCTGCTCAAGTCATGATCTCAGGGTCCTGGGATCAAGCCCCATATCGGGGCTCTCTACTCAGCAGGGAGCCTGCTTCCCCCTCTTTCTCTGCCTGCCTACTTGTGATCTCTCTCTGCCAAATAAATAAAATCTTAAAAAAAAAAAAAAAGGAAAAACAGGAAACCACTTGTACTGGGTTTTGTACTGGGTTGAATTGTGTCTTTCAAAAAGATATGTCTGTGGCCTAAACCTGGTATCTGTAAATGTGACCTTATTTGGAAATAGAGCTTGTAATGAGATCACCCTGGATTTCAGGTAGGCCTTACATGCAATAACTGGTGTTCTTAGAAAGGAGAGAGAGATTTGATACAGAGACCCAGGGGAGAAGTCCCTGTGAATACGGATGCAGAGAATGGACCTAAGTATTGTCATAAGCCAGGAACACCAAGGACTACCAGTAGCCACATGGAACAAGGTGAAAGGCATGAACAGATTCTCCCTCAGAACTTCCAGAAGGAACTAACCCTGCTGACACCTTCACTTTGGATTTCTAGCCTCCAAATAGTGGGACAATCAATTTCAAGTTT